CTTGGATATTTTGCCTTTTAGTTGATGCATTTTCTTCATTGTGTCTATGGTCTTTACCATTTGGTACATTTTTGGAGTGGCTGGTACTAGTTGTTCCTTTCCATATTTAGTGCTTCTTTCAGGAGCTCTTGTAAGGCAGGCCTGGTGGTGATGAAGTCTCTCAGCAATTCCTTGCCCATAAAGGATTTTCTTTCTCCTTCACTTATGAAGCTTAGTTTGGCTGGATATGAAATTCTACGTTGAAAGTTCTTTTCTTTGAGGATGTTGAATATTGGCCCGACTGTCTTCTGGCTTGTAGGGTTTCTGCAGAGAGATCTGCTGTGATTCTGATGGGCTTCCCTTTGTGAATAACCTGACCTTTCTCTCTTGCTGCCCTTAGCATTTTTTCTTTTATTTCAACCCTGGTGAATCTGACAGTTATGTGCCTTGGGGTTGCTCTTCTTGAGGACTATCTTTGTAGTATTCCCTATATTTCCTGGACTTGAATGTTGACCTGCCTTGCTAGGTTGGGGAAGTTCTCCTGGATAATATCCTGAAGAGTGTTTTCCAACTTGGATTCATTCTGTCCGTCACATTCAGGTACACCTATCAAACGTAGACTAGGTCTTTCACATAATCCCATATTTCTTGGAGGCTTTGTTCTTTTCTTTTCACTCTTTTTTCTCTATTCTTGCCTTCTGGTTTTATTTCATTGAGTTGATCTTCAATCTCTGATACCCTTTCTTCTGCTTGGTTGATTCAGCTATCGAAACTTGTGCATGCTTCATGAAGTTCTTGTGCTGTGTTTTTGAGCTTCATCAATTTATTTATATTCTTCTCTAAGCTGTTTATTCCAGTTAACATCTTATCTAACCTTTTTTCAAGGTTCGTAGTTTCTTTGCATTGGGTTAGCACATGTTCTTTTACCTCTGAGAAGTTTGTTATTACTCACCTTTTGAAGCCTGTTTCTGTCAATTCATCAGATTCATTCTCCATCCATCTTTGATCCCTAGCTGTTGAGGAGTTGTGATCCCTTGGAGGAGGAGAGACATTCTGGTTTTTGGTGTTTTCATTCTTTTTGTGCTGGTTTCTTCCCATTTTAGTGGTTTTATCTACCTGTGGTCTTTGTAGTTGGTGACTTTCGGATGGGGTCTCTGAGTGAATGTCCTTTTTGTTGATGTTGAAGCTATTTCTTTCTGCTTCTTAGTTTTCCTTCTAACAGGCCCCTCTGCTGCAGGACCGCTGGAGGTCTACGCCAGACCCCGTTCATCTGGGGATTGCCCGCGGGTGCTGCAGAACAGCAAGGGTTGCCGCCGGTTTCTTCCTCCGTTGTCCTCATCCCAGAGGGGGTACCTGCCAGATGTGGGCCTGAGCTCCCCTTTATGGGGTGTCTCTTTGGGTATGCAGGGGTCGGGGAGTTGCTTGAAAAGACAGTCTGTCCCTTATAGGAGCTCAAGTGCTGTGCTGGGAGGGAGCTCTGTTGTTCTGTGCAGAGCTACTGGGCAGGTACCTTTAAGTCTGCTATAGCTGAGCTCATAACCACCTGTTTTCCCAGGTGCTCTGTCCTAGGAAGGTCAGCTTTATTTATAAGTTCCTGTCGTGCTGCTACCTTTTTTCATAGATGTCCTGCCCTGCACGGAGTAGTCTAGTCATGGTCTGCCAGAAGAGGTGTTGCTGAGCTGCCGCAGGCTATCCCCAGCTGCTGTGTGAACTGCTTTGGTAGTGGTGGACTGCCTCAGTAGTGGGGAACGCCCTTCCCCCCCATTGAGCTGGACCATGCTGCATCCAGCTGCACTTGCTGCAAAACTCTCAATCCAGAGTGTTTCAGATTGCTTGTTTTGTGGGGGTGGTACCCGCCTAGCCAGATCGCCTGGCTTCTGTCTCAGCTCCCTCCCTTTCAGTTGCATGGGCAGCTCTGTCTCCCGGGTGGCTCTGTCTCCCAGGCATTCCAGGCACCAGTCAAAACAGCTGCGTAGACTTGTTTGAGTTTCTGTGCGCTGACCAGGCACCAACTGGACTGAAACCCCCACACTGAAAACTCATGGTGCTTTTCAGCCTGGGAATCTCCTGGTCTGTGGGCAGTGAAAACTTGTTTGGAAATGCAGTAAGCACTGACCTTCTGCGCTGTTCTCTATGGGAACTACACTGTGGAGCTGTTCCTATTCGGCCATCTTGGATCCTCTTGCACCTGTACTCTTGAAGAATCCTGCTGGTGGCGAAACATAGTAAAGAACGATAAAAGCCGGGCGCGGTGTCTCAACCCTGTAATCCCAGCACTTTGGGAGGCCGAGGCAGGTGGATCACGAGGTCGAGAGATCGAGACCATCCTGGTCAACATGGTGAAACCCTGTCTCTACTAAAAATACAAAAAATTAGCTGGGCATGGTGGCACGTGCCTGTAATCCCAGCTACTCAGGAGGCTGAGGCAGGAGAATTGCTTGAACCCAGGAGGCGGAGGTTGCAGTGAGCCGAGATCGCGCCATTGCACTCCAGCCTGAGTAACAAGAGCGAAACTCCATCCCAAAAAAAAAAAAAAAAAAAAAAAGATAAAGTTTGGTATCTAACCACCATGTATTGAAATCTGTCTCCACCATTTACTACCATGACCCTAGACAAGCTACTTCTCTGATTTTTCATTTTTTATCTGTAGAGTAGGTATAATAATAGTGCCTACTTCATGTTACTATTTCAAATATTGAGTAATAAATGGCATATAAAATGTTTAGTACATGGTAAGCATTCAATATATATTAACTATTATAATAATATTCTAATGATTCCCAGCTGAGAGGATTTTTTTAGCTCCTTAAGCTTCAGGTGAGATAGAAACCCCTAAGTAACCCCTACCTAAAAAATGGAATTGGGAATTACATGGCTAGGCACTCTAGTCATTGATAACTAAAGGCATGAAACCTGAATTTTCTAATTGTGCAGGCCTCCACATACCAAAGTGTACAGACCACCTCTCTAAAACAGTAGTGCCTTGCTTTTCCTTATCTATAGGTGTACCAAACTATTCATTGCAAAGTTGCCCTGGGTTTGACTTGCTTCAGACCTTCCCTGACCTAAGGAGAGTTGTTTTCCCACATGTACACCACACCTGAATTTCTGGAGAGATTTAATTTTTATTAAACCACAGTCAAAACAAGAGTAGCAGTTTAAAAACCCAGCTCAAACCAGGTTAGGGAGGGGAAAAAAGGAGGAGGCAGGAATTATTAATTCATAGAGCCAAGAAGTCCAAGGCTTTATCTGGTGTTGAGTGTCTGAATACAGGGTTTTAAACACTATTGTGTCATTTAATCCCATGCCATACCTTGGCATTATTCTCAGGGCTGTTCTCCATGTAGCAGTGCCCAAACTGCAAACACCCTTATGGGCATGTAATCAGAGAAAGAAACATTTTCTTCTCCAGCATCAATGTCATGTCAGAAAACAGTTGGCCTGACTTGGGACGTAGACACATATACGCTCTTGGTCTAGGGGAATTTGAGGCTCTTAAATGGCATTGTGTTTTAAGCCATGGCCAGGTAGGAGAGGATCATGTGGCTGACATCCCCACCAAATCATGTGGAGTTAGGGTGGGTTTTTTTTTTCCCCTAAAGGGAAAAAAAGTTGAGCAAGCAAAAAGGAAGTGATGGCAGTTTTAGATTGAGTAATAAAAATGTCCTCATTGCTGTCACCTTTGTTGATATGGATGGGCTGTCCCAAGAAATTTCTTTACTTTGGGAAGGCTGGCTTAGCCAGCTTTGGGACTAAAAGTTTAGATAGTATGGAGTGGTAACTCTTTTTTGCTTGTATTTTCTTGTTGTCACCTCTGCCCCCTAAGTTTAATTATAGTTATTAATTGATACTTGATTTGAAAAGCTGATTCTTCCTTTTTCATTTTACCTATATATTGCCAGTTTTAAAGTGTGAGCTCAGGAGTCAGATTGCTGAATTTTAATCCTGTCTTTTCATTTGCTCACTTGGAAATCTTAAGCAATTTCTTTAACTTTAAATAAATTGTACCTGTTTCCTCATCTATAAAATGATAGTATCTACCTCTTTGGGCTGTCTTGAGGATTAGTCAGTAGAAAGTGATTGGCATAGTGAACAGTAAAATGCTCAATAATATCAGATACTGCTGCTGCTGCTGCTATTTCCACCTTTGCAACTTGGGTGCGGCTTATCTATTTTTTTGTCTGGAGTAGGAAGGCTGAGGTAGTTTGGGAAATACTCAGAAAGCATTAGGTTTTGTTATCTCAGGATGCAGAGTTGAAGCAAATCGAAAAAATGTACTTGGGTCTCTAATTGGAAGACCTAACTGTAATGATGATCTTATTTTTATAATTCATTAAGTGGTACATTCTTATTGACATTTATTATGGATGATAATGGACAATTAACCTCTCTAGGCTTCTTTTTACTCTTTTGCAAAATGAAGGTTTTTGGGATAGGACAGTTCTCTCCAAGGTCATTCCTGGGTCCTTAGTTGTTTAAGTAAACAATGAATATCAAAAAGTATTTTGTACTTGGTGTGTGTATGTGTGTGAGGCAGAAAGTGATAAAGAAGTAGTAAGTTAGTTTATATTGAGATGAACCAAAATGATTTACTTATGTATTGGGTTTATTAGTTGGTGGGTTTGGTTTCTTCTTAAGGGATTATTAGATCCCCTTTCAAACTCTGCTGTCCGAATCATCTCTAAGTGTTTGTTAATCCTGTCACATCTTTTTTGTATTTTTCAAGGAAAGTTTTCTAGGCATTATGTTATGTGTTCTGTAATACTTGTCTCAGGAAACTTGGTTTGGAGACTATCCCACTACTTACCTTGGACAATGTTAAATTTCCTCTTATGTGCCTTATTTTCTTCATCAGTCTAAATGAGTCATTTCTTCTTTTTAACCCTTAAGTCCTTACTTAACAGTCTGTGATTCTGTAGCTATCACAGCATAGGAGTAACTGGATTCCAAAAGCAGAACTTGATATCACCATTTACTTTTTAAACATGTTTTTAATCTCTTGCCCAATATCCTTGCTGCAGGATTTCGGCTGAATGCATCTTCTTGGCCCATGTTTCTTTTGAAGACGCTGAATGGAGCAGAGATGGCTCCCATCAGGATTTTCCACAAGGTATGCTATCCCTCAGATCATCAACTCCAAGCTGCTTAAGGTCAAATATTGAGCCTTTGATGTCTACGTTATACTTATGGCTCAAAGATGTCTTCTCAGAAATTACTTCAGTAGGATTTTTTAGTAGTTTATGAAGCAGCAATTATCCCCAGAGGAATATATTAGACTGTAGGTCCCATATATTAGATTATATGGGCCCAGCTGCCAATAATCTCTGCCTACAATATATTTGGGACTTTATATATACGATCTCATTTAATACCCACAGCTAATTTTATGAACTAAGAATTACTATTTTCATTTAATAGTTAAGGGAACAAATACTTTTGAATTAGGAGCTTGCCCAAGATCACGTGGCTAACAAGTGGCAGAACAGGGACCCAAAACCTGTATTTGTTCTTGTTTCTCAAGAAGTGAGGCAGTCAGTCTACTATCAGTTGAATTTTCTAATGGGGTGAGAGTTACTGTAAAGGGTATTGAATTGGATTTGCCTTTGCTGCTAGTTAAGTCTCAATGCTAAGAGCATCCTGCTTCTGAATTACCTAGCACCTATGTAACTCAGGAGTAATTCTTGTATTATTTGGGACTAGAAATAAAGATGAGTTTCAGACTTTGTTACGTCAGCTGTGCAGTTAAAATCTTAGAGGGATCTGCCAAAAAAACTCCCAAGTAGAATGTTTAACTTCTGGATCAGTGGAGGAGGAAAATGGAAGAAAACTCAGTTGATTGAAAAGGAGAAAAAAGAACTTTGGAAATTCAAGTTAAATAGAAACATAGACAATAAGATAGTTGTGATAATTCAGATACATCAATTATCATAAGAAATGAGCTTAAGCTCATTATAATCATATATAGATCAGATTTTTAAAAATCTAGCTATATGCTGTTTATAAGAGACACTAAACATAATGACAAAAATGTTGAAAGTAAAAGAGTATCTACAGAGGCTGGGGATGATGGAAAACAAATTTTAAAATTAAAAAAAAAAAAGAAAAGAATCCAGAATATGTGCCAGATGAACTTCTATCAAAATAAAGCTGGTATAAGCTATACAGAAATCACACAAGATTTTGATACTAAAAGTCAAAATGATGGTAAAAGCATTGAGTCCAGAAATTTGAGAGCAGCCTGGGCCACAAGTAGCAAGACTCTGTCTCTAGAAAAAAAATTTTTTTTTTTTTTTCTTGAAACGGAGTTTTGCTCTTGTCAACCGCCGCCTCCTGGGTTCAGGCAATTCTCCTGCCTCAGCCTCCTGAGTAATTGGGATTACAGGCACGCGCCACCATGCCCAGCTAATTTTTTGTATTTTTAGTAGATACAGGGTTTCACCATGTTGACCAGGATGGTCTTAATCTCTTGACCTCGTGATCCACCTGCCTTGACCTCCCAAAGTGCTGGGATTACAGGCCTGCGCCACCATGCCCAGCCTATAAAAATTTTAAAAACTAGCTTAGAGTGGTGGCACATATCTGTAGTCGTAGCTACTTGGGAGGCTGAGGTGGAAGAATCGCTTAAGCCCAGGAGGTTGAGGCTGCAGTGAGCTGTGCTTGCACCATTGCACTCCAGCCTGGGTAACAGAGCAAGACCCTGTTTCTAAAAATAAATAAATAAAAGACATTAAAGAGGTCACTATCTGATGATAAAATAGAGTTCACCAAGAAGATAAAACAGTCATAAATGTACATGCTCCTAGAAAACATAATCTCAAAGTATAATAGAGCAAAATTTGACAAAATTACTTGGTAAAACTGGAAAATCCACACATCACTAGGGAATATTTTAACAGTTGATAAGTCAAGCACAAAGAATTAGTATGTCAATCAGCATAAGCTAATCAGTATTGAATAAGTTGGCCAATTTTTAAAAATCACTTTATTCGTATTTAACAGCAGCAGTTAAATATGAATGATTTGAAAATGAATTTTTTAAATGCCACTTATGATAGCAGTGGAATTGTGATTTGCTTAGAAAAAAATGTTAGTAAAAAAGCATGAGATGTTTATAGAGGAAATTGTAAAATATATGTTAGAGAAATCTACATTAAAGAAATCTTGGCTAGGCACAGTGACGGCTCATGCCTGTAATCCTAGCACTTTGGGAGGCCGAGGCATGCGAATCACTTGAGTTCAGGAGTTCAAGGCTAGCCTGGGCAACATGGTGAAACCTCATCTCTACAAAAAATAACAAAAATTATCTGGGCATGGTGGCATGTGCCTGTAATCCTAGCTACTTGGGAGGCTGAGGTGGAAGGATTGCTTGACTCTGGGAGGCAGAGGTTGCAGTGAGCCAAGATCATACCACTGCACTTTAACCTGGGTGACAGAGCCAGACACTTTCTCCAAGAAAGAAGGAAAAAGAGATATATATATATTATGGATGGGAATGCTTGATAATAAATAAGGCTATTTCCACCCAAATTCATCTATAAATTCATTGCAATTCCAGTCAAAATTCTAATAGGGTTTGTATATGGAACTTGAAAAACTGATTGAAATTTACATGAAAGATGGGGAATGAACAGCCAAAACAATATTGAAGAATGACAGTGTAGGGGGACTTTTCTATCAGATATCCATTTAATAAGACTATATTATTGGTACGGGATCAGACAGTAAGATTAAGGGAACAAAATATAATGTACAACACAGGTTTGAAACTTGATCTATGTAGCCACATTACAAATTAGCACCCAGGAACTCTCCACACTTCTGGTGAAAAAGAAAGTATACAATGTTACCACCACTTTGGAGGACAAATTAACAGTATTTGATAAAGCAGAAGATGGATATATCTCCCTTATAACCCAGGAATTCTACACCTAGATGTATAACCTAAAGAAACCTTCCCACATGTATACTAAGAAATGCAAGAATGGTGGCTAAAACTCTTTTGAAATAGTAAACAATTGGAAAGAACTTTAAGTGTCCAAAGGAGAATTAATAAAATTTTATATATACATACAATGAAATACTATAAGGAATTAAAATGAACCAGAGCTAAATCTGTCAACATGGCAAATTTGAAAAGCATAATGCTGAATGAAAAAGCACAACAATATATACAATGATATATACAGTATAATACCGTTTATATAAAATTTAAAAGCAGGTAAATGGGTATGTATGTATATAGTAAAATATAAAACATGCATGGATAGCTGTTACCTCCATGGTAGGTAGAAGGGGAATGGAATATGGGAAGGGCACAAAGGAAGATTCAACTTTATCTGCAACCTTTTATTTCCTTTATTAAAAATCTGAAGCAAAGTTGTCAAAATGTTAGTATTAATAAAGCAATACTTTGGTATACTCTGAAATTAATTTAATAGAAAGACTGTATCTCCATTATAAATCTTAGATAGCAATCACTTTTTAATCATCCAAATTAGATACTAGTCTATTGCAATACATGGCCTCTCTTTGTGTGTCTAGGTCTATCTATTTCTGTTTCTCATCTAGGAGCCACCATCGCCTTCCCACAACTTCTTCAAAATGGGAATGAAGCTAGAAGCTGTGGACAGGAAGAACCCCCATTTCATTTGCCCAGCCACTATTGGGGAGGTTCGGGGCTCAGAGGTGCTTGTCACTTTTGATGGGTGGCGAGGGGCCTTTGACTACTGGTGCCGCTTCGACTCCCGGGACATCTTTCCTGTGGGCTGGTGTTCCTTGACTGGAGACAACCTGCAGCCTCCTGGCACCAAAGGTAAAGGCCCATCTACAAACAGGTTCTTGAAATCAGGACGCAGATGAGATGATAAGGAAGAATACCCCCAGGTCTGTCGTGATCATGTCTTCACCAGTATACTTCACTAGTATGCAGGAGAGGAACAAGGGCCAGCAGCTTAGGTAAAATCAAGGTCTACCAGGGAGCAATTAGAAACAGTGAGTATTAAGTGTCAGATGAAGCCGCATATGGCATTTGGGATAAAGTAATAATTCCTTGCTCTAAACATCCTTGTTTATTCTCAAGCAACTAGCTTTTCGTCTCTCTTACTTTTGTCCCTAACCCATTTCAAAGTTTGAGTACTAGTATTCCCAAGGCCCACACCTTCCTCTGACCTTAGGGGCTTTGGATAAGAGCTGGAGTAACACTACATGTAAAAATAGTTGAGAAGCACCACAGCAGGATGGAAAAAGAACAAGCTTTGAAGTAACATAAATGTGGGTTTGAGGTTCATCTCTGCCTTTTATTAGCTACGCAGCTTTGGGCAGTTAATTCACCTCCTTAAACTACAGATTCCACATCATGAAGTAGAAAACGTACTTCCTGAAGTTATTGTGAGGAATAAATGAGATTACATGGGTAAAATGCTTACATCTGATGAATAGCAAGTGGTAAACAATTTTTTTATTGTGTTACAGCTGCTATTATGTTATATACTGTATTATAATTATATCATGTATTATACTACATGATTATTATAATATGCTATATTATTATTATATTATTACAAAACTAACCACTACCAATGAGAGAGTATATATAAAGTACTAGAATAGAGCTACAGACTAAATGAACAATAAAATTATACAGATGATGACAGTGAAGATTATCCAGAATAATTTTGAGGTAGCTGCTTTTAGTAAAGACAATAATCTCATCCTCTTAAGTCTAAAAAGTACTGGTGAATCTGAGGGAATGAAAAGTCAGCCTTCTTATTGTCTAAGGAGCTCTTTTCTAAACCTCTACTGAATTCATTCATTCAATTAACCAAATATTTATTGAGCACCTAATTGTAACCCAAGCTGAGAATATACTAATGATAAAAATGATCAATGTTGCTGTGCTCATGACACTTCCATTCTAGTTGGGTGAAACAGATGGCAAACATTTAAATGAAGAAATAAGATAATTTCATATAGATAATTTTTGTAGACAAAAATTAATTTCTCCTAGGGAAATAAAGTATGATAGGATAGTGACAGTGAAGGTATAATTATAAAGGAGTTTTTTTTTTTGTTTAATAGCTTTATTGAAATATAATTGACATAAGGTAAATGGCATGTATTTAAAGTGTACAATTTGAAAAGTCTTGACATATATATACGTCCATGAAACCACAGTGAAAATAATGAACATATTTATCATTCACAAATGTTCTTTGTAGAGGAGAAACTTGTTTAGATAGAATTTCTTTTCAAGAAAATTGTCTGAAAAGTTGATGCTTGAATTGAGACCTGAATGATGAGAAGGAGTCGTCCAGGGAAAGAGACTTCCAAGCAGGCAGAAGGGATGGCTAATATAATGATGCTGAGACATAAATGAGTTTGCTGTGTTCGAAGGACAGAAAGCAGATTGCTCTGACTAGTATGCATTGCCTGAGCAAGAAAGTGGTACAAGCGGGCTGGGTGTGGTGGCTCACGCTTGTAATCCCAGCACTTTGGGAGGCCAAGGCAGGTGGATCACCTGAGCTTAGGCATTGGAGACCACCCTGGCCAATATGGTGAAGTGCCCATCCCTACTAAAAATATAAAAATTAGCCAGGCATAGTGGTGCACACCTGTAATCCCAGCTACTCAGGAGGCCAAGGCAGGAGAATCGTTTGAACCCAGGAGGCAGAGGTCACAGTGAGCCAAGATCGCACCAATGCACTCCAGCCTGGGTGACAGAGCGAGACTCCATGTCAAAAAAAAAAAAAAAGTGGTACAAGATGGATGATGTTGGAGAAGTGGGCAGGCACCACATCATGTAGGACCTTGTAAACCAGCGTGGAAATACTGGATTTTATTTTAAACATATTAGGGAACCATTAGAAGGTACTAAGCCAGGGAAGTGACAAGATTTGATTTACTTTAAAAAACTCACTTGGGGCCAGGCGTGGTGGCTCACGCCTATAATCCCAGCACTTTGGAAGGCCAAGATGGGTGTATCACGAGGTCAAGAGATCGAGACCATCCTGGTCAACATGGTAAAACCCCGTCTCTACTAAAAATACAAAAAAGTAGCTGGGCATGGTGGCACACGCCTGTAGTCCCAGCTACTCCGGAGGCTGAGGCAGAATTGCTTGAACCCAGGAGGCAGAGGTTGTGGTGAGCCGAGATCGTGCCATTGCATTCCAACCTGGGTAACAAGAGTGAAACTCTGTCTCAAAAAAAAAAAAAAAAAAAAAAAAAAAAAAAAAAAAAAAAACTCACTTGGACTTGTATCCAGAATATAAAAGGACACTTGTAACTCAACAATAAAAAGACAAATAACCCAATTTAAAAATAAGCAAAGGATTTGGATAGATGTTTCTCCAGGTAACATACACAAATAGCCAATAAGCACTTGAGATGCTTAATATTATTCATCATTGGGATATGTAAATCAAAGCCACATTGAAATACCACTTCACACCCATGGATACGGCTGTTAAGAAAAGATGGATAATAACAAATGTTGCTGAGGGTGTGGAAAAATTGGAAACCTTGAACATTGCTGGTGAGATTGGAAAATGCTGCAGCCACTTTGGAAAACAGTTTGGAAGTTACTTGAAATGTTAAAGAGTTACCATGTGACCCAGTAATTCCACTCATAGGTATATACCCGAAAGAATAGAAAACATATGCAAAAGCACATAACGAATGTTCATGGCAGCATTATTCACAGCAACCAAAAAGATAAAACAACCCAAATGTTAATCAGCTGATAAATGGATAAATAAAATATGATATATCTATAGCACAAAATACTAATTGGCAATAAAAAAGAATAAAGTACTAATACGTGCTACAATATAGATGTACCTTAATAACGTTATGCTAAATCAAAAAGCCAGTCACAAAAGATAGTCACTGATGATTACATTTATGTGAAATGTCCATAATTACCAAATACACATAGACGGAGGTAGATTTGTGGTTGCCAGTGGCTAGGGGGAGGGAAAATGGGAAATGACTGCTATTGGGGTTTCTTTTGAGGATGATGAAAATATTTTTAAATTAGATAGGGATGATGTTTGCAGAGTTCTGTGAATATCTTAGAAAACACTAAAATGTGGGGTGAATTCGTGGTATGTAAATAATGTCAATAAAGCTGTTACCTGAAAAAAATCACTTGAGCTGGTCTGTGAAGAATGAGTTGTACAGTGGTAACTGTGGACAAGGAAGAAATGAGGGTTGCTTGGATTAGGATAGTTGCACCGAGGTGGAGAGAACCTGGGGCAGAATGAAAGGGAAGCAAGGGAAGCACACTTCTTGGCTCAGGAAAGTGTCACTCCTTTCTGTGCTGCAAGAAACAAGTACCCTGGGGTTGGTATGGTAAATCCATTGTGAGGAAGCCCTGTGAGGTAATAGCTCTATGGAAGCAGAAAGAGGAAAGGTGCCTTGGAACTGATAACAAAGAGTCCTTTTCATTTACTTGAGGCTAAAACAGGATAAGCTTTGGTAGTCTGGGCGTTATTCAGTTAAAAGTTAAAAATTCAGATTTTCTTACTTTCATGCCTAAGGTATTTTCTGTTCTTTTGACTGATAAATTTAGAGTCCTTAGGCGGTTCTCCAGAGCCAACAGAGCTGACAGTCTTTGTGTCCAGGTTGCTGGATATGCATTCCTTTCTGGCTACAAACCTTACTGATAATAAATATGATTCACTCTGTGTCTGATGCTTCCAGAAAGTTTGCTGTTTTCCTTTCTTCCGTGTGTCTCTGGAGACCTTAGGTTTTTAGCAGAAGATGGTCAGAGGAGCAGGCTCAGAAGGTAGAGAGAGACCTTCCAGGTGACATTTCCAGATCAGGTCCTTCAGTCATCATTCCAGCAGTTAGGTTGTTCCCTCTAACAACTTTCTCCTCCCACACTTCACACTCTCAGTAGGTCCTACGAAAGCATTTTCTGTAACAGCTAAGGTTTGGCCAGCCATCTCAATGTCCTGGCTAAGGTGCAAGTGATGCAATGTGGAAAAAATGTGGTTACTCAATTCATTTCACAAAACAAGTTGTTCTCAGTGCATCAGCCTGTTCTTTTTCTAATCATGCTATTTCCTCCTTCTTTCCTACCTTCTGGTCCTTAGTATGCAAATGTTAAAAATTCAGATTAAGGTAATGTTTCTTGCTCATGGTAAATAGGGAAAAAAAATCAATATTTATTTGATGTTCATTTATACACAGAATTTCATTTTATCCTCTGGTAACTCTGAATAAGGTATAATTATTTTCAGATACAGTTTATTTATGAGAAAATTGAAGCTGAGATAATTAAATGACTTCGCTCTGTTGATATCTGAGTCTAGAGAGTGAAACCATAGAGATCTTTTAGTAGAGCCAGCTGTCAGGACCAGGATCACAGAGGCATATTGCTTTCACACTTGTTTCCCTGATACTCATCCCATTCTCCTTTGGCCCTTCTTCAAAGCTTCATTTGAGACCCTGGATTTTGGCTTCCAAATCCTGATAAAAAATAGGAAAGAAGCAGTATGGTGTAATATCAGAGCACTGAACTGGGTTCTAGTCCAAACCAGGCCACAAACTTATTTTATGTCACAGAGCAAGTCACTCTTACATGTGAGAGGCTGAACTACATGATCCCTAATGGCCACTTTTACCTCTGTAATACTACATATCATTTAATGATCTCGGTTATAGGCAGCAGGTGACTCCCGTGCCTGTGTTTGCTACATAATTTTAGATTGATCAGCTCACCTACCACCTATCTCTGCCTTTAAAGTAATCCTGTGTGCCAGCTGTCTGTTGCCTCTCTTTTTCTTCTTTACTAAGCCAAGTAAAAGGCTT